AGCAAGGAGATGGGGGCAGGAGGGGGAGGAAGCAAGGATGGAGGGAGAGGAGCTGACTTGTGGAGCAGGTCAGCAGCTTCCTGAGGGAAGTGATGAGGATTCAAGTGATCGCTGAGAGCCTGGAGATGAAGAAATTCCTAGAGAGCGACAAGGAGGAGGAGGCGTGAGCAACTCATATTAGATTTATATGTACAAAGAGGGAAGAAGAGAGGAAGAGGGAGGGAGAGAGAGGAAGAGGGAGGGAGAGGGAGGAAGAGGAGGAGGAAGAGGTTTAGCCCTTCACTGTGAAGTCAATGAAATCTTTGAAGGACGTCGAGCCGTTGTGAAAAGTTGACGAACACCTGTATCACTGTGAGAAGGGAAGAGAGCGGAAGAGGAGGGGGCGAGCAAAGGAAGGAGAGGAAGAGACAGGGAAGGAGAGGTTCAGTTTGAGGGAGAAAGTTACCTCGTCAGGTGGCAGTTCTCCTCTTTCCGCGCATGACGGGATACCCCCGTGACAACGCAGGGCTGCAAGCAAGTGAGGAGTGGAGGAGGAGGAGGGGGGTGGGGGTGGAGGGGAGGAGGGCGAATGAAATAGGCAAGAGACGGGAGACGAAGGAAGAGGAGGAGGAGAGAGGACGGGAGATGAGAGAGGAAGAGGAGGAGAGGAGGAGAGGATGGCAGAGGAGGAGGTCTTACCTTGAACTTCATGTTGCAACCCGAGCATGTCAGAGAGGCCTCGTAGTTCTTGGCGTTGCACTTGAAACAGGAGCGAGTCGCGAGGACAGGCTCGACCTGCGGCAAGTCAGCGAGAAAAACGAGGTGAGAAGAACATGGAAGGGAGGAGGGAGAGAGAGAGGAGGGAGGGAGGGAGGGAGGGAGGAGCCAGCTGAGAAGAGGAGGGGGCGGGGGGAGGAGGGGGCAGGGAGGAGGAAGGAGGGAGGAGGGAGAATGGAATGGAGAGCAAAGGGGTTGGGACCTTCTTGTCCATGGAGAGTTGGAGAACCCAATCGCGAACCTACGCCAAAGAAATTCAGCAGAACACTCGCTCCACTTCTCCTCTCCTCTCCTCTCCTCTCCTCTTCTCATCTCTCCTCTTCTCTTCTCTCCTCTGCTACCCTCTCTCCTTGCTCGCTTCCTTCGCTTCCACTTGCTCACCTCCTCTCTGTCGTTCTCAGGCACGAAAGCCTTCTCCTGCAAGTTGAACTCGAAAGGAACGTCTGTGCCCTCGAAGTCGGTGTTCTCGATCATGCTGAGAGAGTTCAGTCAGGGAGGCGAAGAGGAAGGTGAATGTGGAGGAGGGAGATGGGTTGAGAAACACGAGGAGAGAGGGGAGGGGAGAGGGAGGGAGGGAGGAGAGAGTGGAGGAGAGGGAGGGGAGAGCTCGGTCACCTGCTGCTGTCTGCCTCCTCCATGGCATCGCAGATGTCGAGGAAGCGATTACAGAAGACGAAAGCCTGAAGAGAGTTAAAGGAGCAACATGACGAGCAGGGAGACGAAGAGAACAGGAAGAAGAGGGGGGGGGGAGGGAGAAGAAGACGGGATAGAGGAGGAGGGAGAAGAGGAAGGAAGAGGGAAAGGAGGATGATGTACCTGGTTCAGCTTGCCGGCAGCCTTGCATGCCATTCCAGCCTCGTAGAAGACTCGGTCGGCAGGGAGGATGTCGCAGAAGCGGAGGAGGGATACACAAATCTTCTGCTCCACCTCCGCCATCCCTGCTCCCCTCGCCCGGCAACTCGCCTGGAGGCAGAGCAGGTGCGCCGCCTGCAGGTATCTGTCCACCTCCCTCTGATCCCCAGCGTCTGCGCCGCCCGACGTTCGCATGGCAGACCAGATCTTGTAGAGAACCTGCTCAAGGTGATGAGGAGCGAGACAGGAGAGGAGAGAGAGGAGGGGAGGAGGGGAGGAGGGAGGAGGGGAGGAGGGGAGGGAGGGAGGAGGGAGGAGGGAGGAGGGAGGAGGGAGGAGGGAGGAGGGAGGGAGGGAGGGAGGGAGGGAGGGAGGGAGGGAGGGAGGGAGGGGAGGGAGGGGAGGGAGGGAGGGAGGGGAGGGAGGGGAGGGAGGGAGGGAGGGAGGGA